TGTTGTGGTTACTATAAATGCTCGAAGTGATATATAAAATCCCGTGACGAGTGATGATATAGTGAACAACATCGAGTACGGTTAATACTTAAATTTATAAAAATGGAAAAGGTAAAAAAAAATCGTAAAGGAGGAGCAGAAAAAATTAGAGCCAAACGAATGTCTGAACTTAAGGCAGCAGGAAGTGATCCGAAACAAAAGAAATTGCAATTTTGTACAACTATTAACACACAAAATGGTACGTTCTTATAATATTAATTAAACTATAATATTTTGAATGGGTATGTTTTAGATAGTTAATAAATGTGTATGAAGTATTATAATTTATATTACTTTGACATTTTTAGATAACTTTAATGATGAAACATCAAAACAATTAGAAATAATAAATAATCCTACATCGACTAGTGTAAGTGTTAAAGTATATTATATAACACATTAAAATATTTTGCAAATGTTTAAAAAAACTATATATTTTTATTTCAATACCTATGTGTTGTAGACTATAGAATAGAAAACACTTATGTTTGATGAAGTTTGTGACGATGAAGCACCAACAGATCCAAAACAAAAATTTCGAGTAGAAGTTTTTCAATGTATCATCGACCAATTGCGAACCAGCCTAACTGAAAGATTTACTAAATACTAACAATAAAAGTTTGGTTGCAGATTTGCAATATTTATTGCCAAAACATTTTAATGATATAAGAAATAAATTAATTCCTAAATCAGCATTACAAAAGTTATCACTATTATCATCTGTTGATCACTCAAAATTAATTGACGAACTTGAACACTTTGCTGGAATTTATGATAAAATTTCTAAACCATTATATAAAAAAACTGTTGATATCTATTATGAAGATTTTTCTTTGGATTGGGATGATACTCATCTATCTGTTACAGGTAACTAAAAAAAAAATAAATTGTTTATTAAATATATCATATTTTAACCAAATTCAACTATAAAATATATTTATATGTTTTTATTCGTGTTAAGATATTTATATAAAGATTTTTTTTTTCAGAATCTGAATGTGAACACTCTTTTATCCGTGATGAAAAAGGTATACATACCCGAGAGAATTGTTTGATTTGTGTTTTTAATTTACTTCATTCGCTTTATTTACATATGCCCACTTATTCTAATTTATATGCCGCCATGGAATATGTACTAACCTTATCGGTAACTCAGGTTAATTGTGAACGCGTATTTAGCAAATTAAAAATTATAAAAAATCGTCTACGCGCTTCATTATCTAATGACCGCTTAGATGCTTTTTTATTAATGTCTGTAGAAAAAGAAATATTAAATGATTTAAATTTTGAAGATATTTTGGACATTATTAAAAACTCATCTCATACTTTATCTAAATTATTATCGTTCACATAATTACATAATTATATAATTATAAAATCGAATTTGTCATACTGTTACTTGGTGTTACTGATTTATACCTATATGGCTATATGTATTGATATATTTTACATTTTCTTTGTAATCAACACCGACAAAGTTCCTAAATCCTAATTCTTATAAAACGTTGGTAAAGGTAGAAATAATATTGAGAAAAATGTAATATAGTGTTAGTTGGGCCGTTAAATATAGTAAAATGGGCCGGTTGCATACAGAGAATAGTGGGCCGAAACCCTTCCAGTCCGGCCCTGGTCTAATTTATACCTAATTGTAATTAATCAAGATCAGAGTGGCCTTTTTATTTTATACATTGTACCTATTTAATTTGTATACACTTGAACATAACTATATCTATTTTTTTTGTGACAAATTTGTTTTGTCAATATGTCACCAAAAAAAATTCGCGCCGTCGTAAAGAAAGGAACCCGATCGAGTAAGACTTCTTTAAAAAAAAAAATGAAAGAAGTTCATAACGGGGTTCGTAAGAATGTGAGGTAAGTACTTTTAAATATTAGCTTCAAAATAAAAATACATTATTTCATGGACATGGACTTATTCATTATAGTAATGACAATAATGTAAGTAGACACAAATATAATAATTGTAAGCCAAACTTATGGAAAATCTTGTATTAAATTTTCAAGTTATTTTGAGAAACCGAAATTTTTTTATCGACACTTTTTTTAGGTACTGCTAATAGCTGACTTATTTTTCATTTTTAGTTCTGGAACTCATGTGAACAATTTGGAAACTAATTTATCTGAACATGATAATTATCAGTCGTGTATAAATGTTATTTCAAATATTAATGAAATTGATAATAATTACATTTTTACGAATGACAATAATTTGAATGATATGAACCCGGATTTGAGTTTAAATAATTTAAATAGCACATGTTTTGATGGTTATTCGTTGTTAATTGCACATAGTACACCAGCTAGAGTATTTAGTGACTGTAGTTTTGTAAATAAAAATACATCAAGTGTTATGGCACATAGCTTATGTGTTGAAAATGAGTCAAGTACTAATGACGAAACAACAACAATAACAAAGTATTGAATTTTTATAAAAAATATTTTTTAATTTATTAAAAAATAAAATAATATAATCATTTTAACGATTTGAAGGTTACTTGATGGTCGCAGGGTAGTAGATATACGACATTTTTTTATGCAAATAATGAATAGTCGGCATGAAAGATTTGGATGTTCATTTATTGATATGGATTTTAAAATGGAAGTTAGAAAAGGGTATAGTTCAACATTTCATTTTGAATGCAAAATGTGTGGCACGACATAATGTATTTCTACGGAAAATGAAAATGAAAATCCTTATTTACCAATTAATCAAGCGATAATAAATGGCAGTGTAGCTATTGGTATGTATTTTTTGGTAGTTCTGGATATAAATAGGTTCTCAAAGGATTCGGGAATAATATTGATAGTTATTAATTGTCTATTATTTAACATAATTATTTTGATGAGTCTTATACAAATTTTAACTTCAAATGTTTTTAAAAAATATTTACGAAATAACATTTGACTTTAGTTTATAATTATTTTTTTAAATTTTTAGCTACAAAATAATTTGCACATTTTTGTGTTTTTGTATTTTATATTATAAATGACATATATAGGCATAGGCCATACGCAACTTAGTCAATTATCAGCTTCAATTGAAGTCCCGTCGATATCTTCTACTGCGTATCTTAAAAATGTTTCAAACATAAGTGATGTAATTCAAGACACTGCTATCGAAGAAATGGCAAAAGCCGGCGACGAAGAACGAAGGATAGCATTAGAAAACGGCAATGTGGATAAAGATGGAGTACCTATGTGTACAGTAATCGCGGACGGGCAGTGGTCAAAACGGTCCTATAAAACCAAGTTTAATGCATTTTCAGGAGCTGTATGTAACATAATTTATTTTTTGATATTCTAATAGAAAAGATTATTATTGTATGTCGTATGTGTAAAATTGTTTTATATTTTATGTATTCTGTAGGCTACAATTATAGGGAAAAATACAAAAAAAGTTTTATTCATTGGGATTAGGAATAGATATTATTCAGTGTGCCAACAATCATTCACAAAAAACCAAAATCCACCTACCCACAGGTGTTTTTTAAACTGGAAGAAAACTTCGACTGCCATGGAGGCCGATGCTGTCGTGGAAGGATTTTCTAGTAGTTTATACATGCATGGTTTAAAATACAATAAATTAATCGGTAATAAGACCAAATCATTGTTAAAATAATATCTGTACTTATATATTAATATTGTGTATATATTTTCATTCCTTATCCGGCGCTGCATATTAATAAATATATATACAAAAGGCGATGGTGACAGTAGTGTGTCAAGACGATTAAATGATGTTCAACCATATGGTTACGATTTCATTATTAAAAAAATCGAATGCAGTAACCATCTGTTGAGAAACTTTTGCACAAAATTAACAGCACTTGCTAAACGAACAGACTATCCCATATCTATAAGAAAATTTATTACTACCAATATTTTACGTTTTCGATCCGACATTACAAAAGCGATTAAATATCATTTAAAAAATAATTCATCCGTCGATCAAAAAGTGAAAGGTAATTTTATTTTATTGAATTACAACTAAATTGTATAATTTATCGTTAACATATTTTTATTTAAAAAAGATATAGCAAATTGTCCGTATCATAGATTGGGACAGCAATAATAACTGTTTTACCTATTTTACCTGTTTAATACCTATTTTTGTACTGGACCTAAAACAGGAGAACGAAATTTGGTTCTCGAAGCTGAAAAAAGTGGGATGATGGTAGAAATTAAAAATATAATATATCGGTTGATTGTAAACGCTGACAGTCTTATTGAAAATGCAGATAACAACCCTTGCGAGCAATTTAATAGTTTGATAAACAAACATGTAGGGGGGAAAAGAATAAACTTCACTCAAAAAAATAATTATAAGACTAGAGTTGAGGCTGCAGTAGTAGCTTTCAACTCCAACAATTATTTACGGACAATACAAAAACAAATTATATCCTTTAGCCCAGGTAAATATAATATATAGGTACTTACTTTAATGCATTTAAATTACTGCATGTGAATATTATTTTAATGCATAATATTCACAAATCTCGTATTACAAATTGTTATCTTTTTAATTTTAGGTATGCAAGCTAAACGGTATTCTAATAATTTAAATAGAAATAATACAATAATGCGACGAAGAAAACTTTTTGAAAATGGCATAAGACGAAGTAAACCAAGTGGAAAATTTAATGGACCCGACGAGGATTATGGAATGGCAGAGCCAATTGAAGACGATTTGGATGATTTAAATGAAAAAAAAAGCGAATTTTTGAAAAAATTAAGTTGATTAAGTTGATAGAAATGAGTTACAACTACGTACTGTAGAACAGAGCCAGAACCAAGAATGGCATAATGAGAGAAAAAAAAGACTGACGGCATCTAATTTTGGCGACATTTGCAAAATGAGAGCAAATACGAGTTGTCGGAAAAAAGTATACTCGTTATTATACAGACCAAACTTTTTATCAAAAGAAATTATGCACGGAGTCGATATGGAGTTTTTAGCAAGAAATTCATTTGAAGAATTAACTAGTAAAACAGTGCAGTTATGTGGACTTTTTACAGACAACGAATTTCTTTATTTAGCAGCAAGTCCTGGTAATACATTATAAATTATAATTTATTATTGATTATAACCTGAATTTCTACCAAATATATTAATTACAAGTTTTATTTTTACTTTTAGATGGTCTTGTTGGGGAAGACGGTATTTTGGAAATTAAATGTCCATTCGTGGCTAAAGATACATTGAGCGCCACTGAAGCAGTGCAAAATAAACTTGTAAGTCACGTGATTCATTGAATTTTAAAAGAATTTTTAATAACTACATGACTAACTAATGATGCATTGTATTTAGTTGGATTATTGTAGTATTAATGACAAAACTGGTAACATTGAATTAAAAAAAAATCATAATTACTATTACCAAGTCATAGGTCAATTACGTATAACACAACGAAAAATTTGCTATTTTGTAATTCACACTACAAATTGGACTAATATTCAAGAAATAAAATATGAAGAAGAGTTTTGGATTAATAATATGGTAGAAAAACTTAAACTGTAACTATTATTTTTATTATTATTAAATCCATATTTGTAAAAGTATATCTCAAAAAACATTTTACTTATATTTTTACAGATTTTATTTAGAGTGTATGTTGCCGGAAATTGTTAATCCACTTTTCAAATTAAGACTTCTCGTAACCGATATCAGAGAGCCAATACACATAATACATGCCCAAAAAAATATGAAGTCAATGGTTAAAAAAAAGAAATGATATTGAATGAAAATATAATTATTTAAGTAGGTATAAGAAAACAACTAAAAATTGAAATGCGTATATTGCATACATTATAATATAAACCATGTAGCTAAAATAATAGTGATCTAATACGGATCGCACTCAAATAATATATACGAGTATAAAGTATAAACTATTGTTTTTAATTTCAACTATAATATTTAGATTTGGTTTTATGGAAAATCATAAAACAGCTGTACCTATGCATTTTTATTTAGTAGTATAATTTACGAAAAATCATAATTTTTCGCTTATCATTATAATAATAGGTATATTATAAATATACTTACATATTTAAGTAAACAGGACTTTAATAAAGAAATGGTGGTAACTTGCGTTAGAAACGATCGCGCCGCGTGTTAATAAGTAAAAATGTATGTTATTTTATCATTCACATTTCACACTGAATCATGGACTCGCATTTGAATATAAAATATGATGAATTATTTTGGAACAATAAAATGGAAAACTAATTAAAATTGTAAGCATATAAGTTCAACAAGATTTAAAAATTACCGATGTTGAAGAGTTTATAAAATCATTTTTTATTAGGTTTTATTTAAAACGAAAAAGAAATATTTTTTTTTTTACTATTTTTTATAATTAAATATTAGATTATAAAATGATTAAATTATATATTCTTAATGCCGGGTTGCATGAACGCCCGTTAAATGTTTAACGAGCCGTTAGCGCGCTAACGAATGATTAAAATTTTATTCATCTGTTAAACAATCTTTAAACGTTCAATAGTTTTATTGGGCCGTTAAAATATAGGTTACCAGCTCATTAAACTAATGGGCCGATTTCGGCTCTTTAAATTTTAATCATTCGATAATCCTACAGTTATCAGTTATCACTTATCACGCATACGTATTCAGGTGTCAGTAGTATGTCGTCACTATACCTACCCTGTAGTTGGTCGTACTTACTAAATTTTTTTCTTAATACTTATAAGCTATAACCGAAAATAGTAAAAATGTCGAGTTCTGATTCAAGTTTATCGATTTCCGATGATGAATTGGTTTTGGGTATTTTGTGTCATTTACCTAGACCGAGGTTATTTAGAGATCGATCAAATCCTTTGGAGGAATTTGATGAACAGAACCGAAAACGCCGAAGAAAGATTAAGTACAGACTAGTAGACTACAAATTCACAATTTGTAGAATTTAGCAATTATTGTTATTATACATATTCAAAATTAAAAGTTCAAATAGCTGTTGATACAGTATCTAGATCATAGGATTTTATCACTTTTTCTGTGATAAACTTAAATTTCTACACTAACCTCGGTATCATGTTTAATACCAATATATTTTTATTGTACGATTTGTGCAACCCAAACGCTTCTGTAAAAATATTTAACGGCTCGTTAAAACTGTTCATTAAATAAATTTAAAGTTCGGTTTCATATGCTCAATATTATATTTTTATTATGCTCAATATTATATTTTTCTTTGAATTACCTAAAAAATATGTAAGTGGTAGTAGGTAAGCGTATAAAAGTATAACGTAAAATGTACGCAATTTATTACCTACTAAAAAACTAATACTTAGATATTAAGGTAATATTAGTTTTGGTTATTGTTATAAATTATTTACTGTATTATAAATATTTTATGATGTATCTTATAATGTAATAAATACAAATCGTATAATGTACCCGCGGATATTAAATATATTACAGTTGCATTTACATTTTACGTGTATATTTACGCGATCCTTCAGAGTTGAAGGTTCAGATAATAATAAACATCGCTTTCGTATAAACACAATCGTCGGCCGGCCGCCCGCCGGCTACTAGTAGTGGGCGTGGCTTAAATGTCGCGCGCTTGCGGATCGCGAAAACACCTAAAAGCGCGTTCTATCGGCCGTTGAATACGTTTTACTTTCAGGGCGGGTTGCATAAACGTTCTGTAACTACTTACAGATCTGTAAGTACGTTAACGGATCTGTAAATAAAATTAGGTGTTGCTTGAACGCTCGGTAAAGTTACTGGCTCTGTAAATTATCGGCTACCGGACCTGTAAACTGCAGATCCTATTTGGGCTCTGTAACTAGTTACAGATCGGTTAAAATAATATAATATTATTATGATAAGATAAACAAGTTCTATTATCAAAGATTATCAATATTCAATTTATATTATTTATATTATATATTTTTTTAGTTTTTGCGATAATTAAAGAATACAAATTATTTTTAAGTTAATATACCTACGCAGTACGCGGTTACGCACAATTTTTTTCCAATAATAACGATGGAATATGATTCGTCTAGTTCAAATGATTCGTCTTCGTCTAGTGACGAAGATTTTATAATTGGTGTATTGCAGGTATTACCGAGACCACGATATTTTCGTGACAGATCGAATCCTTTCAGTGAATATGACGATACGGATTTCAAACAGAGATTCAGGTACCTACCTATATTAAAAAATATTTGATTTCACTAGTTTACTGTTGTAATTTGTTAGGTATAAATATAATAAGTAATCATTAGCCGAGTTTATACCCTATAATTTGTATGCAACTGATTAGTTAAATCAGACTCTTCAAATTCCAAAATGGAAATCCAAACTATGTATTAGTTATTTGATTCCTTAGAAATGAAACAGATAATTAGTTAATAGTTTAACCATATTTCAAGGCTCAAGTGAAAATGCACCATTTAAGTTTTTGGGTCTATCTACCTATATTTAGTTAGGTATTTTATGTATCAGAGACCAGAGTAGTATTTTGTATTTTTTAGGCTGTCTAAAATGATGTTCATTGAGTTGCTAAACATGATACAAGATGATCTTCATCATAATTCACACCGGAACATGTCTTTGTCACCAATGCTTCAGCTTCTGATTGCACTTAGATACTATGCAACTGGTGCTTTTCAAGTAATTTTTTTAGAATTTTACATAATCTTCACATACATTTTTATTAGACATTTGAAATATGTTGTATAAAATACAGAGATATATAAATGCATTATGTTATATTTTAGGCAGTTCTAGGAGACCATATATGTGTACATAAGTCAACAGTTTGTCGTATTGTTAAAAAAGTGTCTACATGTATTGCAACCCTAAAACCACAATACATTCAAATGCCTAGAACAGAACTAGAGAGAGAATCAGTGTATGAAGGTTTCAATCAATTGCGTCAATTTCCCAATGTTATTGGTGCAATTGATTGTACTCATATAAAAATACAGTCTCCCAATAGTAATATTGGAGAAAGGTTTAGAAATAGAAAAGGATATTTTTCCATAAATGTTCAAGCTGTTTGTAAAAGTAATTTACAATTTACAAATATTGTGGCTCGGTTAGTAACTATAACTAAATAATTATACATAGAAAAATACTTGTAATTTATTAATCATTATAAATTGTATGCATTTTATTCAAATGTTAATAGTTGGCCTGGTTCGGTTCATGATTCTACCATATTCGACAATTCACTATTGAGAGCACAATTTGAAAATCATGAATTTGGAGATGCTCTACTTCTAGGAGATGGAGGTTACGCATGTAGAAACTATTTGATGACCCCTCTTGCTAATCCAATTACCGAAGCAGAAAAACGTTATCAGGTTAGAAAAAACAAAACGTGTCTCATAAATGACAACCATTATTAGTTGTTCTAGTTAAAGCAATACATTTTTAATATTTTTTAGAAAGCCCAAATCGGTACCAGAAATGTTATAGAACGAACATTTGGTGTGTGGAAAAGACGGTTCCCAGTATTGTCTGTTGGTATTCGGACACAAATACCAACTACTTTGCTAACAATCATCGCCACAGCAGTGTTACATAATATGTTGATTAAAGCTAATGATCCCTTACCTATAGATGATACTCTCCTAAATGAAAATTTGCTTCGACAAGTTCCAGTTTACCCTGTACAACAAACTGGAAATATAGTGCGCCGAACATTAATTGAGACTGTATTTAATTAAATTTGTTTTCCAATTATTTTTTTATAGAATTATTTTATGTACATACGATTTTTAAGAATTAAATTAAATTAAATATTTAAAAAAAAAACATAATTCCTATTAAATATGAAAACTTGTACATAACTGTAATTTCACTCTCGATGATGTGTCTATGCAACAAGAGACTCATTATTATATTATGTAAGGTCACCCTTGTGATAATATCATAAAAAATAACTAAGAACTAAAAAAATTGCCTTTATTAAATAATAGATAATTATTGATATACAAAATAGGTAACTTATGTACCTATGTATTTTAGTATGAATAATAACAAATACTGATAATAATATTATAACAAAAACATAATTCTTTTTTAAATATGAATATTAACAAATACTAATCATAATATTATAACAAAAACATAATTCTTTTTTAAATATGAATATTAAACTAAATAACCTAACCCCTTTTTTAACAAATACTAATCATAATATTATAACAAAAAAATAATTCTTTTTTAAATATGAATATTAACAAATACTAATCATAATATTATAACAAAAACATAATTCTTTTTTAAATATGAATATTAACAAATACTAATCATAATATTATAACAAAACCAATTCCTTTTTAAGTATGAATATTAAACTAAATAACCTAACCCCTTTTTTAACAAATACTAATCATAATATTATAACAAAAAAATAATTCTTTTTTAAATATGAATATTAACAAATACTAATCATAATATTATAACAAAAACATAATTCTTTTTTAAATATGAATATTAACAAATACTAATCATAATATTATAAAAAAAACAATTCCTTTTTAAGTATAAATAATAATAAATACAGTATTATATTCTAGAGTACCTATTATAAATATAATTTCTTTAGGTTAAATAATAACAACAAACTCATTAAAAGCTAATTTTCCAATAGCTTTTGTTTTTGTAAATTTAAAATATCTTCTTGCAATTTCATTTGTTTTGTTTTTGAATCCAATTCTAATTTTTTTGTTGCAAGTTCAGTCTTAACTATTTGCAGTGTAGTTTCTGCCGTTTCTAATTCCACCATTGCTTTTTTAATTTTTATGTCTTGGATATCTGATGAAAATTTTTGTTGTGTACATACTTTGTTAATTTTTTTTTTTGCCAACTCTTGTAGACCATCACAGACAGATTTTTGTGATGAACTTCGTTTAACCGCAGTATCTTTTTTTGTTTTTAAATTACTAGACAAATTTATTTCTGGTGACTGGTAACTGTTATTGAATGTTGATGTTTCAGGTTCTATATTAAATATACCTTAAAAAAATATAGATAAGTTAATACATTTATACATTTATAAGACCTTCACATAGGTAAATCCCAATAGTTAAACATAAAAAATAAAATGTATATACCCCAATCCACTTTTTTATGGGAATTATGAGTTAAATCATCTACTGTGATATCAATTTCTTCTACTCCATCTTCAAATTCAATAGTTTCCACATCATCTTGTACATTTTGACCACATCTGTCAGCGTTTATTGGATCTTAAATGTAAAAAACTCATATAACTAAAATATTTTGAAGTTAATACAATAGATAGTATGTATACATAATTTTTGATTCTATGAATTATTAAAATCCTTTAATTTTAGATTTTTTATAAATGATAAAATTACTTTAATACAGTAATATAAATATACCATATCATATATTTACTATTCACTAATATTAGTTGATAGGTTAGGAATCAGAGTCTTACCCAATTGCCCTTCTTAATTTTTATTTGAATTATATAATTTAAATATTAGTAACTAGGACATACCAGCATAGCCATAATCATCATCAAATTCATTTACTAACGGAGTAATTCGGTCTTCAATTACTGCAATTACTTGCTCGCTTAATTGGTTCATACTTTTTTTGTATTGTCCTCCGCCTGTTTTAAATCTTTCAACCTATAATACAAATAATAACATAATTAGAATACACATTAAATCTAGATCAGTCACTTCTACTACATAGAAACAAAGAGTTTGCATAACAGTAATTTGAGTTGTCAGAAATATTAAAATTTGTAATTAATGGTACATAATTGAAAATCATGCTAGAACACATTTCATTTCAAATATTTAAAATCAAATCTTTTACTGAGTGTCAACCACCAATTGTTATTTTGATGGAGGTAGGATAAATTAAGTAATAATGGGACTTACTTTATCATTTTTATTTTCACTTTTAGCGGTTTTACTTAAATATTCAAATAAATATTTGATTTCATCTACTGTTCTTACACCTGATGTTTGGTGCAAATTAAATGTTTCAAGAACATTTGACCATGCTTCATCCTTTTCAAATAGATTGCCACTAAGCTATGTTAATAATAAAAAAAAAAAAAATCAGATATATGAACTTATGTTGTTTTTTTATCTTGTGCCTACCTATATACTTTACAAAAGTACAAAAAACTTACAATAGATGAACGTTGAGATTGGACCAAGTCCAGAACCATGGATTGTTCCTCATCCGTAAATAGTTTAATGATTTTATACATTAACACCTATTTTAAATACAATGTTTTCTTATATTTTTAATTTCATTAAACAGTAAATTATAATATAGTTTTATCATAAATATGTATCAGTGTACCTGCCGACAACAATAACACAGGCTAATTCACACATAATTGCAACATGTTCTTAGTATTTACTTATACATTTTAACTTACTTTATCATCACTAATTGATTTTTTCGCTTGCCTTTTGGCCATGTCATATAAGGTTTTTAGCTGTTTAGCAGTTCTAATACCAGTTGTTTGCTGATCATTGTATTCGATAACAATATTTTCCCATATTTTGCTTTTATGTTTAATGCTAAAAGAATCAGTCTAAAACAAATTTGAATAGGTTCATTCTGTAATAAGGTTTCTACTTTAAAATGTGCTATACACTTAACTGCTTTACAAACAATTTAATACAAGTATATTATTATTGCATTTTTTTTTTTTCTTAATGCATTTAATATTATTTTATTTCCTTTAAATTTGTATGATGCTGAATTATATTTAAACTGTATATGTAATCGATAATCTATCGACTATCGTAGTACCTTATCTTAATTACTTCGTATTATATCGTTATATATATATATATAATTATATTGTTAGATATAAAAGTCCAATACTTTGTATAACAATATAATATAGCACCGATAAAAATAATACAAAATACAAAATATTTGTACAAAAGTACATTTTTATAAAAAAAAACCGAAACGTGCAATTTTGTGCAACATAAAACTTTCTTTAAATTAATCTACATCTCTTGATTTGGATTTGTAGCTTGTTTCTATTGAATTTAGAACACGCCATAAAAAGATGCAATTGCACAGGAATCCGGTCTTTAGTTATTAGTTTTAGTTAGGTATTACTAATAACTAATATATTACCCACTTAATAATTTTCATAGATCTTATCGCAAAAATAAAATATTCTGTACATCATGTTTACAGTTTACCTTGACTATATCAATATCATAACTAATAGTGTATAATCAGTGTATAGAGTCTATACTATAAAATATAGACCATGATTTATCATTGAATTTAACAGATCTGGTACACTTGATACTTACTTAACTTCAGAACTTCTTCCTCGGTTTTGAATGTTAGTTTTACCCACATTAGACGTTTCTGAACTATTTTTCACTTAGTTATTTCTGTAATAAGGTTTCTACTTTAAAATGTGCTATACACTTAACTGCTTTACAAACAATTTAATACAAGTATATTATTATTGCATTTTTTTTTTCTTAATGCATTTAATATTATTTTATTTCCTTTAAATTTGTATGATGCTGAATTATATTTAAGGGATATATTATGCTTTTTAAAATTAAATTACCTGTGGCACAGGGGTGCCCAAGGAAAGCTTCCCATTTTTTATTATAATGCACATTAGTCTTTTAGAGAACTATATAATTTATCGGCTTATATAAATGTTAGAACCATTAAGTATGTGTATCACTAATTGAATAGATATAAATAAATAACACTCAATTTCTGTAACAATTATTTTTATTGTGAAGTACATATACTCATTTTTTATATTGTATATATTAAAAATTCAACATTTACCATATTTTTTTTCACTAGGTAACTTTTATAATTTTTTCTTTTGTGTCATCAAATACTTCCCAGTCACCATTTGATCTATGAGCATATTCTATGTAATGTCCAGAATTTATCCTTAGACTACTTTTTTCTGAAGCGTTAAATGCAATTATTCCTCAAAGAATGAAATCATTGTTATGTATGTATATATTTTTAGGTAAACTATCCAACATTTTTATTACTACACCGGCATAGCTGACTGATGTATGTAATTCTGTAAACAAAAAGCGATATTCAGTGGTACATAATATAATGTAAAACATTGTATTCAAAATGAATTTACCTAAGGGAACAGATACCAGTTCAATTAATAAATGACTGGTTGGTTCTATCTCAATATTTCTATTTTTACCACACTTAAGAACTGTACAGACTTCACAGGTTAATGAATAAAAACGAAGAATTTCTGTTTCTAAATCAATCTGTCCATCGAATGCATTCAAGGATATGACTGTTAAATTTGTTTCTGCTGTACTAAAATTTTCACACATAAAATCTGAACACTCATTAATCCGGCGATAAGATGGGAATTCTTCTAATAACTTCTCTGCTATATTTTTTATGGTTCCAATTATATCCAATTGTTTCAATCCTCCAACCAACATTTGCATATCATTCTCAAAATGATTTAATAACAACAATGCTCTTTCTTTGTAAATACTTTTAAAACTACATTGAGTTATCATTTTTAAAGTAAATTGAGATGTATTATTTATTAATTTGGTGCGTGTTAATATTTTTTTGTAGCCTTTGCTATCAGCAGCTGCGCATGATAAAATTGATAAAATTGAATCTGCTGAAAATGTATTACTGAAAACTAATTTTCCTGTGCCCGGTATTAAAATGGGTT